TACATAAAATAATGTAAGAGAGTTAAACAGATTGCATACATTTCATCCCTGAGAGAGGCGCATACAGTCAAGAGACTGCTTCCTTTTCTGTAAAACCATGACATCAGTAATTGTTTATTGCTATATTTTTGTTAATTTCATAGCAAAAAATATAAGGAAAGCACCATTACCTTGTCAATACACCGGCGAAACTTTTATGAAGAATATTTTTTTTCGTTTAGGCCTTCGTTTTTCGTCAAATGAAAGGTATATTTCTAAAAGAAGATTTTTTAACCAAATTTGTCGACAGCCAAAATAAGTTTTAATCTATACCATATATACTTATATTGTAAAATACATAGGTAATATTATTTTGTGCTATTGTGGAATATTTTTCGGTTCCTTTGTCTTCAACTTCGCGCGTTAAAGTTTAGAATATGTATCCCTCGTATCTACATGCAAATGTTAAAATTATGAATGAATGCTGATTTTGTTTGGTCTCGGAAGTAATTTTGTAGTATTTAGGCTCCACCCTTAAGTTGTAATTTTTATACCTACTAAACTACCGTTGCCCCGCAGGTCTTCTAGTTTGTAATGTAAATTTTCCTCTTAATATTCACAATGAAAATACAGTCCTTTAAGCTAATAAAATGTATGGAATGATACTTAGAACATGTAAGGGTTTTACGGATATGGATATTTTTATGCTTTTATTTAATGCATATGTTAGAAGTAAGCTTGAATATGCCTCCTTAATTTGGCAACCGGGTTATAGTACTTACTCTTCAATGTTAGAAAATGTCCAAAGAAAATTGCTCAAATTATCCACCTTTTGGCTTCCCTCATGACATTTTACTTAATCGTTATTCTGTTATTTCTCTTCAAGATCGTAGATATATAAATTCTCTTATTTTCTTATACAAACTAATAAGTTCCAAAATAGACTCTTCTGATATCTTAAATTTATTTAACTTTCATGTTCCACGTGAAAATTCTAGGCACTCAGCAACATTTTACTTACCCACTCCTAAGATCAATATTTTAAAATATTCTCCTTTATATTTTATGTGTGATAATTACAATGCGTTGCAAGATAGCACCAAATGTTTTGATATTTTTAATTGTTCAATAAATGTAATAAAAAATAGTCTATCCTAAAATTATAAAAATTAGCTTTTAAATATCCAGTGTATGTGTATAAAGTAGTTTTCTGTGTTTGTGATCATTCCTTTTTTTTGAGTCACTCATACATTTTAATTATTAATATATTTTATTTAAATGTTTTGTTACTTTTTATATTTGCTGGTCTTTTTATATTTGTTTTTTATATTTTTATTTGTATACTTATATTCTTTGTTAGAATAATCTATAAATGCTGTATTTTCCCACTCTGTAAATGGAAAAAGCGTAGAGTGGTGTATGTTAAATAAATAAATAAATAAATAAATAAATAAAAACAACGATTAATTTGTATACTTTTCTTGTGGTTTGCGCTTTAGCGATAAATCTTGTATAGTTTGTAAACTAGCTGGATAATATACAAACCAACCAATATTCATAGCTATTTTAGTAGAAATATAATTTTCCATCAAAACAGCCAGCTATTTGGATAGTTTGTATACTATCCAGCTAGTCTATAAACTAGCCAAGTAAACACTTTAAGCGTAACATATAAACTATACACGCGTATATTATCACGATTCCGTCATTTGACATTCTTGTTTTTCGTCCTGTATCGTTGGCATAGATAAGTTATTCGGAATTGCTATAGGGTTGTGACTTCGATAAGAGTGGGATTTTTAAAATTAATTGAATTGTCAGATATATTTTACGAAGATTGTCAGAGGGTTTTAAAATGTGATCAGTTAAAAACTTAAAAAAAAGTGAGGATAAAAATATTATTTTGAAACTAAGAGCAAACTGGATCTCTCCATAAAGTAAAAATGTTTTAAGGATTTTCTAATATAAAATTGTATTTTTATGCGCGCCACTGGGAATACTTCGCGATATTATTTGTCTAGAGAACATTAGTAGCTTTAAATTTGTGCAAGGATAAAGCAGCACTCTACAAAGGAAAAAAGGTGGGAAATCATCCCCCCATTTAAAAACTACTGGATATTTATTAAAACAAAAAGCAGCAAATTTTCATGGATTTAATACAGAATGGTGAGTAAATGTTTTTTTAATTATTTTTAAAAAAATTCGAACTAAATACGTTTAGAAGGTTCACAATAAATTAAACGTTTCTCCAACCTAAGTTATTATTATTGGTTTTTCTTGAAATTTTCATAAAAATCGGACTAAAAATAAAGGTTTAGAAGAAATTATAAATGTTCATTATATTAAAGTATTATTTAAATTAAAGATAAGTGTGAATCGATTTGCAGGAATGAGAGTTCAGCAGAAGTACTAAGAGGATAAAGTAAAGGAAAACTGCAAGAGGAAACCAGTTAGGAGAATAGCCGGTATAGAAACTCAGGAGTTAGAGCAGGAAGCAGAAGAACCGGATGCAAGAAGAAAGAAGCGAAGCGGAAGATTTAGATTAGCATTTTTATTTTTTATTTTTGTTAGAAACTAAAGGAACCATAACCTTAAACGCTCCATAATATTGGAATGGTTTAACCTTTTCGGAGTGGAACCATTATAATATAATATGCGCGTGTCGGTACTTGTACTCGTTACTCGTCAGCTAGAGGAATCAAATGTATTGAGTACTTTAAAATGTAAAGCACTCGACATGTTTCGAGTATGAGTCCCATCAGGATGAAAGTACTTACGAGTACCAATTACTGAGTAGTACAATTTTGAGTATAATTTACTCGAGTACTGCCCAGCTCTGAATATAAACAAATATTTGTTACATAAATATAGTTCTATATCTTGTAACGTGTTGGAGGGTGGATTGCCTCATGGCACTTATGCATCACTGAGCCAATTGTACATCTTCCTAAATTGGTAGACCCATACAGAATTGATGTAGTTTTCAACGTATCTGAGAGGTCCTTCTCTTATATAGGCCGGTGTTAGCCAAAACTCGCCGAACACAAATCTATTAAATGAGGGCGTCGAGGAATCGTAGAGGGTATGCTCTATGGTATCATCTTCTTATTCAGACCCCCTACAGAGTGTGGATTCTGACAGCCCCATGCTCTCGGCGCAGAGTCTGTCTAGTCATAGTCAACTATTTGTTTACTGTGGTGTTTTCAACTCTGCAGTTTTATCCTTGAATTTTACAGGAGTATGTTTTCTAATTAGGTTTGTTAATACCGATGTTCCATTCCAATGGAAGGGCCAGGTCCCAAAAAATATTTTGTTTGCTGTATTATTGGCTACTGGTTAAGATTTTCCTATGTGATGTAACCTTTAATCCATCTTAAAGTGACCATATTGTTGACCTGGAGTATATTTCGCATCCAGAGCCTTAAGAAGCGTCGGTGTGTATATATAATCGTACTTGTTACTTCCGGCTCTTTTATTTTTGTTCCGTTATAATTTTAAATAGCTTATGAAAGATACATATCGATGAGATGGAGTCCATGTTCTCAATGGAAGCATATTATACCGCCAAAAGTGACACCTCGCCTGATCTGATACTACATCATAGAGGTGATAGTACTCCTCCCTTTGAACATCACCTCGAAACCAAGCCTCTTATATTTACATCTTCTACACTTATGTTTACTGCTCGCTTTGAGCGCATGCATGTTATGTATCCACCCACTAACCATCTGTGAAATATTTCTGTTAGTTAGTGATTGTATTATCATGAATACGGTCATCTTATCAAAAGCACCTTCTATGTCTATAAACACACTCAAGGTGGACTCTTTATTGTCCAGAGATTTTTCTATATGGCCAGCAACTAGTTGAAGAGCTGAATCATTAGATTTACCAGAGGTGTAGTGGTGGTGTCGTAATTACCACATCCTTCATGTACCAAACATAGTTAATTTTAATAATTTATTTCTTTCAGTTCCCATTAGCTGCTTTAATTACTTTGACAAGAGACGTTTTTCGAGGACTAATGACTAATGTAAGTAAACTCGTGTTTGATGAGATTGATGTTTTGTAAAATACGTATTATCATAAACTACTTTTAACTATTCCGTTATTTTCTTGACGTAAATAAACATAATTTTTGTTAAAAATATCCCCAATTACTGAAAAATTGTGAATTCTAAAATTACTCTTTTCTACGGCTATTAATGCAAAAAAATCTATACTTTCTCAACTATTGTAGATTAAGAAACGAGGTATATTTCCCTATTTGATAATTCTAACAACACAAAGTAATGGTTCCCGTAACAGATCCTTTACTGATAACACAAAGTCATCATTGCCTAATTATTTTAATAAAATCATGTGTTCCATGAAATGTCAAATATTGTGTAGTGATAGACTGGCATCGGGTTTAACCGGTTTGCCACATGTCAAAAATTAAATACTTATCTAGCTGCCATTTTAATTTTATAAATTTTAAACACTAATTAAAAATGAAGAGCAGCATGTTATAGTCATAAAAAATGTAGTGTTCAACTCGAAAGGAATGCTTATTATCTACTCTGATTTACAACATTCGCCTGCGATTCATACTGTATATCAGTCGCAGGAAATGAGTACAATTCCTTACTCGTTAAACAATATACTATTCATGAAAAATCCATAGATATACCTAATAGGTTTCAACCGGTTGACCTTCCACAGGCCTAAATAAAAACTGGATTCCTTGTTTTCCATTTAGCAATATCTAGGAGCACACCTGGTATATATTGATAGGGCATGCGGAAAGTTTTTAAATATTGGGTTGCGGAATACTATAATTAATTACAACATATATCCAAGCATGTGGTATATATATAAATAAAAATAAGTAGAAACATATATCATTAAAGGAAGAGGAAATTATGTAAAGGCAACAATTATAATGTAATATTTTTTCAGCAAGTGATACACCCTTCCCATTCACTGTAGTCATAATGTGGGTCATTCTTAAATATTTTTAACAAGAAATAAAAACTTACTTAGTCACAATAAACTCCAACAAAAACCAATTCCCAAGCAATTTGCGAATCACAATAAAAACAAATTATTCGATTTTAACGGAAACATTTTTGAGTTTGTGCGTATATCAGAAATGTGAATTACAAAAAACTCCTCCAACTAAGAAACACGAAATAAATTGAAAACATTCAACAAGGATTTGATCAGGTACACTTCGCGACGTTTAGATTTTTGTAGTAGTCTGCTTGCAGGTAGAATTTCCACCATTTGAAGCGGTTTTTGAGTCTGGTTCCGTCACTGGAAGTCGCCATTTTGTTGCTACATGGTTTTTCCGGTCGGTTACGTTCGAATTTTGTGATTTTCCGAGAGGGAACCCGCGCCGGATGGTGACATTTTCCGAAAAGGGTGAGACGGGTGTGGAATGCGTGCCGTTTCGTGATCAATAAAGTCCTTTTGGGGATGCTGAGCTCTTGCCCGTGCTGCTCCTGCCTTGTGCCTTTTGCGCCTGGCCGACGCGTTTTCCCACTATTCGCAGGAACAGCTAACGACCGAATATCACAAATAATCGTCAAGTAAAAGTGGGACAGATTGTCAAAATCAGATATCGGAAGAAAATTAATATAATGAAAACGAAGTAGATTGTGTATGAATGAAAAATAAATCATTGACAAATCTACATCTCTCTCCCACTCCATCTAAATCTATATAGGGTGTTTCATTGCAAAGTGTACACACGGAAAGAAACAATTTTCGGTGATAGCTGTTCTACTAGATTCTATAAATTATATGACTAATTTCTATGAAAGATTGAATTATAGTATATTTACGACCACAAAATGACTTATTCATAAAAAATTAAACTTTAAATATAATATAAAAAAATGTAGTTGAAATAAATAAACAAAATATACATATTTTTTTCAATTTTCATATTATTTTTTAATAAAAAATGAATTCTTTTCAACAGAAATATTTTTTTTTTTTTAAATATGTTCCAACGATAATTCTTTTCTATCTTGTCTGATTTCTATGATTCTTTTTTGTTAGAAAGGGGATTCCTCGGGGGTGGTCCCATATACAATTGGTCAGGATCTGATAATATATGGGAAAATAAAAAATCTCAACTTTTAAGGGCATCTGCACGATTTTGAAGTCCGTTTTTTATAAAATTACTTTTATAGCTTGTATCGGAAATTGAACTGCACTGTCACGAAATCGTTTAAATCGAAAGTTCAACGCTTAACTCTCTGAGCCAAGAAGGCTTATGTCATATGAATTACCTAACCAAATAGTATTATAACCTTAGATTATACAAACCTTAGATGGAACATAAGACACTGCGCATAATCCCATTTCAAAATGATTCACACCCACCAAACACAGTTGAGAACATCACATGTCAGACCGTTGTCCATCCAAATTTAATGTGTCAACGAGAATTAATTTGGTATTTTAGTGACTTAAATTTTGGAAATTAACGTTGAAAATGCCAAGATGTGTTGTAAAAAGCTTTATTTATAATGCGAACCTGCGAAATGTGACTGAGATAAAAGAAACTTATATTTATTTCGGTGAGATATTTAATTTTTAAAGATTCTGTCGACGTCCATATTTGTTGATTTGAAAATAAACAGAATCGGACTTGGTCATTGGTACATGTTATAAGTAGCAAATAAAGGTTATTATTATAAACTGTTTACTATTTCTTGTTTCATAGGAAATCTTTTTTTAGGAAGTGAAAAGAGAAACATACAATCAAATACAAAAATATCAATTTCATTGCCAATTTATTCGTTTCAAACTTCACAACTGGTTTCAATAGTTTTCTCAAAACTATTTATTTAGTAATTCTCTATAACAGTGTTACTCAAAGTGTAAAGCCAAAGTTTCCGCGAAGAAAATAATCATAATGAGAACCGTTTTTTGGAAAGTAATTTTTTTAAGTCACTAACAGGAAGGAGGATATGATTTTGCTTTAGGACTTTTTTTTATTTAATTTTTTATGGGTGAAATGGATTTGGGATAATTTTTGCAAGGAATCTTTGGAATAAATCAAAAATAAATGATGCTCTTGTGCATTTTCAGCCTGAGTTGCCGATTAAATTATTCGTAGATGCTCAAATGTGGGAATAAGGGCCATGATATGTCATGTTTTTGAAAAAAAAAAAAAAAAAATTGAGTAATCTATAGCTTCTGCTTCGCGTACCTTATCAAAGTCCGAACAAAAATATTCCCAAATAGAAAGAGAGGTCCTTGCAATAATTTTTGGCTTAAATAAATTTAATGAATATTTATATGGACATTTGCATAAAGTAGAACATTATGCAACTGATTACGAAAAGTTGATTATGTCACCAGTTACGAAATGAAAATAAATAAAACGGCATCTTTTTTGGTTTCTAAGTTGAAAAATCGTGAAATCGTGAAATCGTGAAATCGAGAAATTGAGAAATCGAAAAATCGAGTAATCGAAAAATCAAAAAATCTAGAAATAAAAAATCCAAAAATCCAAAAAACGAAAAATCGAAAAAAACAAATATCGAAAAAGTGGCAATGAATAGTGACATTTCACATTTGAAAATATGACATTACGTTTAAAAACAAAAAAGAAAACAAAAAAAGAAAAGCTGTAAATTGCGCTTAATTTTTAAAATAACACCGTTATTGAAAACTGCCCAGAAATGTTGGGGGTAAAATTTTGACGTACTTCTTTAAGGGTAATGGGTAAAAATGATTTTCTTTCAAATTTCTCGCGGGTAATGTCAAAAATTAGATCGGCAACACTGCAAATGTCTCTTATTTTTATTATTACTATTGAAAAAAAAAAAAAACGTCGTAGGGCAATCAAATACAACAATTTTCTAAAATATTTTATTGGAAGTACCTATACAAGAATGATGGTGAATCATTTTTCAACACAATTTTATAAATAATCAAGTCAAAATTAGAAAAAATCTTCTATATAAACACGTTACGAAATGCCGTTTTGTGTAAGTCGTTCATGTTGCGGGAACTCGCTCCGCTCGTTTTGCAAATATTTACTCGTTACACAAAATAGGGCATTTCGTAACTGGTTACATAAATAACTATTAATTGACTTTCTAATATGTTAATTCATTGAACGCTATTTTCCGTAAATAATTAAATCATAAATAATTACCAGGATATAAGTACCAAAACATTTTTTTCTCTTAGAACAGTAGGCCTATGTCAAATAAACTTAAAATATTATAACGAACGAAAAGGTAACCCATTTCTAATAAAATTTAGTTATTTATTTTATTTTGGTATGATCGTAGAAAAAATCTTGTGTGTAATTCGAGCAAAAAGTACTTATAAACTTTTACTTAGGGTCGATTTCACCGTTTTGTTAAACGAAGTTTAAAATACTAAACGAAGATTAAAATGACATTTTTATACTAACAAAAACGAAGTTTAAATTACTAAATGGAGTTTAAAATGACATTTTTACATTAACAATGTCATTTTAATCTTCGTTTAATAATTTAAACTTCGTTTGACACAACGGTGGAATCAGCCCTTAGCTAGTTATATATTGATAAAGTGTTATTGCCCTCATCATACATGAATCGTGCTAACAAATAAAGTCAAACAAACGTCTCATAATTTTTCATCTTTTAATTACCCACCAAAATTAGGTACTACAATACAAATATTTAAGTCCGGCCCAGAACATCTCCCTACTCCTTCCACCCAGTTTTTCGGTTTTGGCAAAATTCGCGCAGCGAGAAATGCTTCCTATGTTACCTCTACCCTTTCTAACCTCTTTGATTATAACCAAAAAAAGACACAAAAATAAATATATTATGTACCCAGTTACTTTTAACTTATTTAAATAGAGGGTGTGTGGTTAGAGTCTGCAATCTTTCGAATCCCACTGTTATCCAGGATTTTTTTTAATTAATACTACGATCATTCACTGTTGTGTTCTAATTGGCAGTGTTGTTCCTAAAGTGGCGAAGGGAAACAGTACACAAAACGCGAGGATAATGGCCTAAGTTGTCGAAGCCGAAGACACCAATAAAAAAAATAATTGTTAAAATAAATATTTAGGATCTAGGTATAAAAATGAATGTTAACAATTTATTTTTTATTAACTAGCAGACGTTGTCCTGGCACACACCTCGCCAGCAATTTTTGTTTTACTTTTTATAAGGGGCGTTTATTAATATTACAATCTAGGGTGGGATTCCGTTTAATGAAATTCGACAATAAACTCGATTATTAAATTCGACATCTCTATAGTCTAGAGAAGAAAGGAGTGAAGTTATTTAATTTGCAGAACGTAGTAGAGGTTCAAGAGGTAGACATTTTATTTATACCTCATCCTTCAATGCTTATTTGTAGTTTAAATGAAAATTTTAGCCTACAGATTTAATGTAGTTGACAACGTGGCAAGATATGCTTCTTTTATATCGACCGGTGTTAGCCGATACTCGCCGAACACAAATCTTCTAATAAATGAGAGCGTAAAGAAATCGTAAAGAATATGCTCGATGGTCTCATCTTCTTGTTCGCACCCTCTGCAGAGTGCCGATTCTGACAACCCCATGGTATGGAGATGCTTTTGTACTTGGCAATGACCAGTAAGAATGCCTGTGACTAGGCGCAGATTTTGTCTAGTCATAGTCAAGTATTTGTTTGCTGCAGTGTTGTCAGAATAACTTAAGAGCTCCTGGCAACTCTGCAGTTTATTGTCTCATCCCATCTTTCCTTAAATTTCACTAGGGAATGTTCTTTGATTAGGTATGTCACTACCGATTTTGTCAGGCCAATATAAGGGCCAGGTCCAAAAAGTATTTGATTAGCTGCTTTCTTGGCTAATGAATCAACAAGACGGTTACCTTTCGATGTGGCGTGACATTTGATCAATCTTAAGGTGACTACATTATTGATGGATACTTCGGCCAAAGCTTCATGACATTCTAGTACTAACCCTGAGTAAATTCGTGGTCTGTTCAGGGTGAGTAGTGCTTGTCTGCTATCTGTATAGATCAGCATGTTCCTTCTATTGATATTGTTTCTGGTTATTTCTTTTGCTGGCACTATTGCTCACAGCCCATTTTATGTTTCGATTTAAGAATCTGGAGTATATTCTACATCCTGAGCCTTGTTTTGTTTTAGAACTGTCGGTGTAGATATGAATCGTACCTGCCACTTCTGGCTCTTCTATTTGTTTTATTATAACTTTATATGGCTTATGGAAGATATATATCGGTGAGATGGAGTCCATGTTCGCTTGAAGCAGTGAGAGCGTATCGAGCGCCTCCTGCCAAAAGCGACGTCTCACCTCACCAGTTCCTACATCGGGTTCTATTCCAACCGTGTGGAGGCGTGTCATTGTCGTCAGAGCAACCTCCTTGATGTAAATATCAAGGGGAGTGAGGCTAAGAATGACTTCCATGGCTCTGGTCGGTGTTGCTTTCATGGCTCCTGTTATGTTGAGACATGCTGTTCTTTGAATTTATTCTTGTTTATGGGTAGCTGTTAATTTTTGGGTTTTCGGTACCCAGACAACTGCACCGTATGTTAGCTTTGGTCTTATGATAGCCGTGTAAGTCCTTGCGTCTCTGAGGGAGAAATCACA